AAAAAAAAAATGCTATATTGCTAAAAATATGCTGAAGTTTATCTGAGCTTTCAGCAAGCTGTAATCACTAGTTAGAGTTCACCGTAATAAATATAATAATAATGAAAAAGTTTGAAATATTGCAAAAATGACCCAAATGTGACACAGAGACACGAAGTGAGCAAATGCTGTTGGAAAAAAAAAAAATGAAGCCCATAGACTTTTGCTCATCACAGGGTTGCCGCAACCCTTTGATTTGTAAAAACCGGGATCTATGAGGTGCAACAAAGCAAGGTGCAGTAAAACAAGCAAAATATGCTGTTTCTTCCCAAGTAATCTAATTTGTCTAATCAGAGACAAAATCACGTTCAAAACTCTTGCCCTCCTGTATGTTCATTCATATGGAAATGGACAGAGGAGGTGGCAGGCAGGGTGAGGGTAGGGCTCAGCTACCAATTGGTTGTGGCCCCTGGACAGGTCCTTGAATCACTCTCCTGGGTCTTTCGGCTTCTACTCTGAGGTCCTTTCCTGCTTATCTTGTAGAAGTCTCCGTATTATTGAGGCAAAGAGGCACCCAAAGAAGTTGACATCCATCTTGCTATTTCCCACAGATATCGCTGACACCAGAAGCTGGGAGCAAGAAAATGCGCAGACTCAGGCTGATGAGTCTAGCCCCTCAGCACTTCAGCGAGCTGCCTGGGGGATCTCTGAAACCGAAAGTGACCTCACTTACGGGGAAGTGGAGCAAAGATTAGATTTGCTTCAAGAACAACTTAACAGGTACAAGTAACGGCAAGGCAAAGAGAGAGCATCACTCGAACCCTTGGTGGGGTCTAGCTTTTCTCCTTGTAAATAGCAAATTCCTACTACCATAATCTTGTAGTTTTCATATATGCTCACTTATTTAAAATAAGACTACAAGTTGACAGAATTATTAATCTGTGTTGCAAGGAGCATTTATTTAGAACACGTCATGCTTCTGGCAACATAAATCCTATTTTTTCTTTACTTGTCATAAAATTAGTATATCACCCACACCAGCTGCTGAAGAAAAATCCTTTTTGTCCCTCAAAATAATTCATATTTGGCTTGTTTACTAACACCCTCTTTTAATCCTGCTTTTACACTTTTGGTTGTTTCTGGTAACTTAGTTATGTGTGATGGCATTTTTTTTAAGTATAGACAAAATTAGTTCAACATTTAGATATTCAGTCAATATGTGAAAAATGTATTTGAATCAAAAATAGCGCAGCGTTAAAGCCCAGATCTTTTCCATTTTCCTTCCGTCTTTGATCTCTACCCTTTTAAGATGAGGCATGAATTTTAGTTTTAAGGAGAATGGAATTCCTTAACGCAATCTGTGTAGATTTAGTAAAATCAAACTGGTCACTAAGTCAGGAAAAAAAATATATATGATTGAGTATGATATCACTGCTTTAGTTGTGCTTCACGTGGGAATTGACCTTGATTCAAAGGTAGCCTCTGAATACACCACCAGGCAAGGCAGTGTTCATAGACGAAAAGCTTCATGGATTAAACTAAAATGCTCAAATCACACAATTTACTAAATCAATGTAGAACATACAATGAGAGGGGCGTCTGGGTGGCTCAGTCGGTTGGGTGTCCGACTTTGGCTCAGGTCATGATCTCGCAGTCTGTGAGTTCAAGCCCCACATCGGGCTCTGAGCTGGTGGCTCAGAGCCTGGAGCCTGCTTCAGATTCTGTGTCTCCCTCTCTCTCTCTGCCCCTCCCCCACTCTCACTGGGTCTCTCTCTCTCAAAAATAAAAAAATAAAAAAATAAAAAAAATTTTAAAAATTGAAAAAAAAAACATACAATGAGAGTTGAGGAAAGCTAGATGAGATACTTAACACATTTCTAATAAGTGCACGTGCGGTAAAAGGAACACACTACCCGAATCCTGATTTATGACACGTTCATATATGCTGCATCATCCTGCCCTGATGTGTGGTGACTAGGACGACAGTGGCAGTTTGCACAAAGCATCCACAGACAAAAAAATCTGTTCCAGTGACATACACTTGCTCTATCACGGAGATGTAAGGCTGGATATGCCGGCCACAGCCGTGGCTCTCCAGTTAGTCTGCTCAGCAACTATGTATTTTATTTGCTCTTTGTAGGTAAAGCCCATGTGGAGCTGGAGTGAGCCTATGCTGTGTGTCACCACTGGATGGCCAAATTTGGGGGTGACAGTTGTCTGTCCTGAGTTGACTTGAGAATAATTTCTTCTTTCTGTCTCTGTCTCTGTAAGCCACACTCTGGTTTGTTACATCCTATTTCTGTTCCATCTTTGGAAGGTCTTACAGGTTACCTAGCATGCTGTCTGTATTTAATACACCTTATGAATTCTCTCCACGCTTAGCAAGCTACTTACTCATTATCTATACTTAACTAACACGTCCTATGAGTTTTGCCTACACCACATAAGCTCCCTGGTTTACTAACTACTTGCTTAATGTTTCCTATGTGCTTTATCCATTATATCTATCTTTCATTGTTTTTTTTTTAATGTTTATGCCAGAAATGAATACGGACAAACAATACAGTAAGCACATTAAAATGCGTGTACACACACATATACATTGCCACAAAAAAATAAATTAGGAATTAAAACAGACAAATAGAAAATCTACAGATTTGTAAATTCAAATAAATTTGTTCATTTCAAACAAAAGTACGAAAATATTGCAGGAGCTAAAGATTTATTCTGTAGTCTGTCTTTTCATGGATTTTAGTTGAATTTAAAACCTCCTGGTGCTAAGGTCCATACACCATTTTCAAGTGCCAAATGCAAGTCTTATAAAATGAAACATACCTGAGAAGATTAAAGTATCGTGTCATTTACTTAGGATCAGCAATCCCTCATTCAAGTATAAGAACTTGCCATGGTAATACTTATTATTGGTCAGAGAAGCATATTTAGTGGCTTAATTAATACATTTGCTTTTTTACTCTCTTTGCCTTGTTTACCAATCACATTGATCCTTTAGCCACAACATACACAAAAATATATACTGTACACACATAAAAATTGGTATGTGTGATCTCTGGACTTGAATTTTTTGATTCCTGTGACTTAGGGAAAATAAGTGTCCATTTCTTTACTGCCAGGACATAAAATGTGTTCAATTTGTTGAGGGGATATAAAAATGAGTGAATGGGGCGCCTGGGTGGCTCAGTCGGTTAAGCGGCCGACTTCGGCTCAGGTCGTGATCTCGAGGTTTGTGAGTTCGAGCCCCGCATCGGGCTCTGTGCTGACAGCTCAGAGCCTGGAGCCTGTTTCAGATTCTGTGTCTCCCTCTCTCTGACCCTCCCCCGTTCATGCTCTGTCTCTCTCTGTCTCAGAAATAAATAAACGTTAAAAAAAAAATTAAAAAAAAAAAGAAAAGAAAAAATGAGTGAATGAAAAAAAATAATAAAAATAAATAAATAAATAAATAAATATGAGTGAATGAATAAGTGAATTGACAGGGACAGCAGTGATATCTTTACAAAATACTTGTGGTTAGCCTAGATTAAGGTCATAGCTCTGCTACTTAACTATGTACAGGGTTTATGGTTCTCTAGCCTCAGTTTCTGTCTTTGACTCATACACACCTGCAATGGTATTTAAGGACTAAGATATGATATGTGGAAACTATAGATGCTCACACAGGGAGGGGTTGTACCAGCAGCTAGGTAAAATCTGATGAACAATGAACTCTACTTTATTATTGGTATTCCTCCTGAGTGTATTCTCCTAGTTTATTTATATTTACTTCCTTTAGTCCTTTCTTCAGGATTAAAGTTAAGGTGTTAGGATCCCTTTAGTTGCCTTTTCAGGGGTACCAATCATTGCTGCTGAGATAAGTCGGAGATTACTGAAAACGTATGTCTTCAATATGTCCCGGGGCCAAAAGTGTAAACTCTTAAGGGCACACCCATCGAGGAGCATTTGATTTGCAATAGCCCATTAGTAATAATAATTTTTATTGTTATCTTATTACATTACTTATTATGATTTTTATATGAAACTTTTCATCTCTAAAGTACAATTAAATTTCTCCTAGGGCGCCTAGGTGGCTCAATAGGTTAAGTGTCCAACTATTGATTTCGGCTCAGGTCATGATCTCACGGTTCATGAGATCAAACCCCACATCAGGCTCTGCCTTAACAGCGTTAAGGATCTGCTTGGGATTCTTTCTCCCACTCTCTCTCTCTGCCCCTCCCCGACTCGTGCATGCACGTGTGTGCACTCTCTGTCTCTTCATCTCAAAATAAACATATTTTTTAAAAAATCTATCTTGGCATCTATTTTGACATAGTCCCAGCATTTATATGTCCTTTGATCTACTTCTCACTTTGACTTACTTCTATTTCTCTCCAATATTTTCAACAAACATTTTATGGCCTAACTCAGCTTAGCCTCTTTTGGATTTGAAATCCAAAATATTACATTTTTACTGCACTGGCGTCTCCAACATCTTTCCTCCACTTTACTCACAAAGGCAAAAGTATAAAGAACAAGTTTGAAGAGGGTAACTCAGCTCAAACTTTGACTTTGAGTGGGAATCCTGGGACATTTTCTGGAATTGGGTCTGCCCTGTTTAGCTTCAGTATTCTGTTCGAATGTAGAACTGTGAATCACAACCCCGTTTGTCTCCTTCAAATATTCATATTAAGCAAACTGTGCAATAAGAACAGATATAAATGGGTCCATCTTGAATCAGCTTTGCTGCTACCACTTTCCTGCTTTAATGACCATTAAACTATATGTAGGGTTAAAGGTTTACAAAAGGAAGGTTCTTACATATTTATATATTCTGTCTACAGACATACATATTTAGGGCAATAGCACTTGATCCTAAAACAGGGCTTCTCAAACTTTACTGTGAATGGGAATCGCTTGGGGATCTTATTAAAATGCAGATTCTAAGTCCCATAGATCTAGAACTCCATTCTAACAAGTGCCCAGCTTTGACCACACTACAGGTAGGGAGCTCTGGAGCATGTAAAAGCTTTTAATAATGATTTCATGTCTTACAGATCATCCAGAGCAATTTATGTGTGTGCCGTTAGTATGGCATTGAGCATGTGCTTCACCTAGTGTTATACTTATTTATGTACTTCCTTCTTTTTTCCTTCCTACGTGGTCAGCTTCTCTCAGCACCTTAGACTAGATTCTACGTATATCATCATCATGTTCTCCTTTTCACCTTCCTGCCCACCAAAGTGCCTGGTATATTGTGGATCTTTAAATAAGTGCATGAACGCATTTACTTTATGCAGCTGAATAGTTATGTTGATGTAGGAGAGAAAAAATATTTTTCCCTCTACCCTTCTGAGTTCTTGGCTAAGACCCCTGTAATTAAAGACAGGTTAACAAGAAAAAACAAATAAGTTTATTTAACACATTGCCCTCATGTATACATGGGAGATATACAGAGGAAAATGAGTCAATCCCCAAGGTCGCTTAGAATCCGGGATTAGACACCACCTTGTTAAGGGAAAGTGTAGGGGACGTAAGCCTCTTAGAGGAGAGTAAATGATTTTTAGGAAAGGTAAATGGACAGTCAGAAGAAGAGGTAGAAGATATGGTAGTTTGTGAAAAAGTTTGTCTCAGTGTGGTGTCGGCTTCCAGTCTTTTCTCTTGTGACAAGAGCCAGTCTTCTCTTGCTGATGAAATACCAGAGGAGTGAATTTATCACAGTTGAGTTCCTTTTGGATCTGCTTTTAGGAAGATAAGGGAAGTTCAGAGAAAGCCTCTCTCTGCATTTTCTGTTTTTCATGTGCCTACAACTCAAATAATCAATATGCCAAAGTGGCATATTTCAGTACCTTTCATTGACCAAAAAAAAAAAGTTTTAAAACCGGGTTATAGACTGGGTGGTCTATAAACAACAGAGACTCATTTCTCACAACACAGGAGGCTGGGAAGTCCAAGATCAAGGTACCAGCAGATTCAGTCTCTGGTGAGGCTCGTTTCCTGATTCATAGGTGGCTGTCTTCTTGGGGTGTACTCATGTGGTAAAAGGTAGAAGGAAGGAAGCTCTCTGGGGTCTCTTTTATAGGGACACTAATCCCACTCATGAGAGCCCCACCCTCATGACCTAATCACATCCTAAATACCCTACCTCCTAACACCATCGCATTGGGGGTTAAGATTTTAACATATGAATTTTGAGTATATAAACATTCAAGCCATTGCACTGAACTACCCAAAATATCAGATAACCAGTTAATAAACAAAAACTAAGTATTCAAAATTACTGCAGGAAGAGAGAATGCTATCTTGAAAGAGCCTAAGTGGTGTCTCAGGAGGGGAAGTAAGTAGGACATTCCTAGGACTTTGAAATCTGGGCCCTTCAAGGCTGGGAACTAATTGGAATTGGGCAAAGTTCATGCTGTTATAATCCAGGTTGAGGGACACAGTGAGGTGAAGATCTTCAAGCAAATCTGAATAAATAAAATCTGTTTGATAAACAAATTATTTGTTCAGATGAGCAGACTGTTGTCTCCAATGAGTTGGTCTATAGAAATTTCCTCAAGAAGTGAAGTGAAGTTTATATTTAGTCTTATTTTTTTCAGGCAAGGTTTTCCCGGAACGAACAACAAAGTCAGGTTGACAGAAGTGGTCCACACAGTCTCAGTTCTCACCCTACACCTGCTACTTCACCTGCCAGGGAACTCTTGCATGCATGAGCCCTACTTACAGTAGTACATTGCCATTACTGAAGACCCACCTTCCAACAGATTTCTTCTTCATGGAGACTATTCAAATAGAATCCATGATATTAAGATCCCATTTCTCAGAGACCACTGCTGTTTGATAAAGGACTCAAAAACAGTATCATGATTTTTTATTCTCTGTTGCATTTTGAATCCCATGTGTTGAAATTTTTATTCCATCCCCCACCCCCAAGTCCATTTATATTCAATGTAATAAATACTTTGTAAGCCACTCACTAAACATTAGTCTGTTTGCAGACTTTTCTTTGGGGGTGCAAAGGAGGGAGAAATGAATTCTGAATGAGTCCAAGATGGAAAGAGTTTCGGGTGCAGATAAAATTTGAACTGGAGCTTGAGAAATGAAAGGAAAAATTGACGTATGACAACAAAATAATAAGTCTTCTCCAGTTAGTTGGCACCATAAAGAAATAGATCAGACCTACAGGTAACAAGTAGATAAATAAACTGGTCGATAACTCCTTTTTTTGTCTCATTTCAGTGTGTGGTTTTGACATTTGTGAGGCACAATCATGTATAATGTATAGCTTTTGGTTTAGAAGACAGGAAGCTATATGGTTAAGTATACCAGGTATAGAAAACCTGTACGAATGATGTTATTATGATTCTCAGGAGGAAGATCTGTAGTGGCAGGATTAAGAACTAAAAAGAAAAACAAAATGACCTTTTCTTAAATCAAAGACTAAGTTCTCTCCACTTCAAATGTCACAAACAAATGCAGCATGTATATAATTGGACAAAATTAGTTCTATGATTTTAAAATTTTGGTAAGATTTACCTTCTCTTTGCATCTTTCATTCAGAGACAAAATAGCACAAGTAAGATTTAAAGTTTTCTAAAGATGCATACAGTCCAAATTTTCTGTTCTTATGCCCACAAACTTTCCTTTTTTAAAGTGCTGTTAACACATGCAAAAAAAGAAAATTAGTCCTATTGTATTTTGCTATTTTCCTTCGAATTTTAATTTAAAATGAGAATGAATTTAACAGGCCAGTTGGATCCTTCTGAGCTTTGGGGAAAAAAACATCAGACTGGCATCTTGCAAGCCAGATGGGTCATAGAAGCAAGTGAACTTGTATATTTGGTTTGTTTCTTAAATGCCAAAGGCCTGGAATTGTAAATTGGTTAGAAATTTAGCATCTAACAGCATTTAACAATAAAGAACACAATGGGGGGCGCCTGGGTGGCTCAGTCGGTTAGGCGTCCGACTTCGGCTCAGGTCATGATCCCACAGTTCACAAGTTCAGGCCCCGCATCGGCAGCTTGAAGCCTGGAGGCTGCTTTGGATTCTGTGTCTCCCTCTCTCTCTGCTCCTCCTTCCCCCGCTCAAAAATAGGTAAATTTTTTTTAAAAAAGAATGCAATGAATAACATGCAATACTATGAATAGGACAGAAACAAGGTAAAATAAAGGTAAACTTGAAATACATAAGAAATTACACAATTGTTGCAGCTATGAAAGAAATGTGCTACCAAGTCCATATTTAAAGAGTAAACAAAATGTTCTCAAGAAACTGGCAAAGCCTGATTAAAAAGCAAAGAAAATTATCATTAACAATGGATTCTCAGTATGTTTTACATTTGAAATCAATAAAGGTTGGTAAAAATGTAGTCTATTTCAATTCAGCTGCTTTTCCATTAAGATCTTATTAAGCAGGAAAGCAGGAAAGCAATGGTGTTTATCAGAACCACTAGTGGAACACAGAAAGTGAGCATCAGCCAGGAGAGAATCTGTGTGCTCCCTCTCCTGTCCTTCTTGTTTAAAGCAGGGCCATAATTCTGTTTGTTGGTGGTACTGAATTTTCTCGAATGCTTTGCAATCCTGGACTATTTTAGGACTGTCTTCCCCCATTTGTGTCTGTCCTGCAGACTTGAATCCCAAATGACTGCTGACATCCAGACCATCTTACAGTTGCTGCAGAAACAAACCACTGTGGTTCCCCCCGCCTACAGTATGGTAACTGCCGGAGCGGAGTATCAGAGACCCATTATTCGCCTGATGAGATCCAGCCATCCAGCAGCATCCATCAAGACTGATCGAAGTTTCAGTCCTTCCTCACAAGTAAGTGTAGATGCTGTATAAACGAGAGTCTCTCTCTGGGTGTTTCTGGGGACCACATGAGTCAGAACCATCTGGGGTGCTATGGGAAAATAAAGGTCTCATCCCCATCTGTTTTTGCTCCATTAAATTTCTGGGAATAGCCCCTAGAATTTGAATTTAAACCAGCCCCCCAATAATTCTTCTGTTCATTTATTTTTATTTTTTTTTAATTTTCATCCAGTTAGCATATAGTGCACAATGATTTCAGTAGATTCCTTAGTGCCCCTTACCCATTTAGCCCATCCCCCCTCCCCAAACCCCTCCAGTAACCAACCCTCTGTTCTCCATATTTAAGAGTCTCTTATGTTTTGTCCCCTTCCCTGTTTTTATATTATTTTTGTTTCCCTTCCCTTATGTTCATGTTTTGTATATTAAAGTCCTCATGAGTGAAGTCATATATGTCTTTCTCTGACTAATTTCGCTTAGCATAATACCCTC